TTCCATGTTTGTCTTTATCACTTTCCATCAAAATTTCAAATATTTCACATAGTATTGTTTCAAGCAGAATTTTAAATATTCACAATTTGGTTGTTTGCCTGAAGTAATTGCAAAAGGATAACTTAGAAATTCTAACTTCAACTAAAATCCTACCTAGGTTTACAACATCCAAATTCTATCCCTAAAACCAAGCATTAACATCATTGTTTTCTTCACAATTTGCATAAAGTTACACATAACCTATCAAACATGATCCTAAAAACTAGCAAAGCCTTTTCCACATCCCAATTATATAAGCCGCCCTCTCATCATCTCCTAAAAAAGCATCAAATGCATGACAAACCATACTTGTGATGCAGACCAGTTCTAGAATTTTAGGAGACTCTGAGAATCAATTTCAAGCTTCATGGAGTGAAACATGATGAATGAAAGTCGAAATGACGGAAAAGATTTGATATTTCCTTGGTTGAGTAAAATATAAGGCAAAGCTGTAAATCACAGCATTTCTCCTTTACTTTATCAATCCAATTTTGATGGATCAAAGTTTGTGTTACTAGAATATAAGACCCCCCAACCATTTCAACCTTCACTTCTCTATCCCACATATTAGGAAAAAAGAAAAAAAAAAAGAGCTTCATACTCAAATTTTCCATCTTCCTCACTTTCTAACTCCCCAAATACAGCCTGAAAGAAAATCAAACTAACATCACTGAAGTTTATTTGTTTATGTTAGCAGGTTGCATTTTGTCAAGTGATCAAATGTTATCAAAAATTAGCTTAGACATTAAAGAGATTCAAAATTTTAATTTGTTAAGCGAAAAAATGTATGTCTAAACCAAATGTTTCAATTGTCTATTTCTATAGTCAATAATCAGCTGAGACAAGATAGAAAACCTTAAAGGGACACATACTACTTACAAGTAGATGATTATTTATGTAGAATTTGCATATGTTGAAAGGTATTCTAGTACTGCAAATAATTTTCTCCAAAGCGTTTGTAGAAGAACAAATAGTTGAACATGTTCGTATAAAGAAATTTTTGCAGGTAATCAAATAATCTTCAGGTTTTCTTCAGTACTATGATCTTTTTTTCATTAAGAAATTGTCGGTATTTCTCCTTGTGTTTACAATAAGAGTCAAGTTACTACTCATAAGTGAGATTAAGAAACTATAATTGAAAGGGCTAATGGTCAAATTAACAAATTCAAATTGGGAGCTCAAATTTATCAATCTACTGTTTTTCAGTGCAATATTACCAGTGTTCATTGTTTTTAAGTCACCACTTGACCCATAAGAATGTTGACTTTTAAAAGGATTATGTTTTTTAAAGTAAAAAATTTTAGAAGTAGCAAAATTTAATTAAGTTAAGCATAAGAAAAGGTGATACACCACAAAAAGCAAAAAAAAATCAAATTAGTGCTTCCTTTTTTTTATATTTTTGAAAAAAGAAAATAAAATGGGAAAACAAACCCATCCTCTCAAATTGCAAACTTCAAACTAGACCTGGCAATTTTGTACATGACAAAATAACAAGAGAACATGACATGAGATTTAAGTGTAGTTAGGTTCAAGCTAATAGTGTTTTGTGCATTAATTATGCTGACATGATTAAGACATGAATAAATCGTGTCTTAACCATATCAAACCCCGCTTAAACCGATTAAGACACAATTAGTTAATCGTGTTATCATGTATCCGTATATTCCGTAACCAATTTATTACCCATTTATTTAATTGTGTTCACATATGGTGTAGACATGTGTAGCACACGGTTAAAACCCATTTATTGATTCATATAAATACTAATATTTTTATAATGATTAAGATTGATTGATATTGAATTTTATTATATTTGATAAATATTATTATATTTATAATCTTTTGTTGTAAACTTGAATAATAAAATTATATTTCAATTGTACATATTTTAATGCAATCGCTTTAGTCTTGTTAATCATATCAATTATATGTTAAGCATATCAATCGTTTTAATTGTGTAAACTGGTTATAAATCATATAAATTTTAATTCTGTTAATTTTGTCATTTCGTATAAAATTTACCTTTAACACGTTTAATAAACATGTTAATTATATCATGTCATGTTACACATTAATTAAACGTATCTATGTATATGTTGAAGATCGCAACACAATTAATTAGTCATATGTTTGTGTTTACTCGTATATCTATTAATATTTTATGGACACGGAAACCCGAATTGCCAAATCTAGTTCAAACCAAACAATGCTAATTGAAACTTTTTCAGTGTTTATATTTATTATCATAGTTAGAATTTATCAAAAAAATATATGTTTTCTTTCCATGTCAACAAATAATGGCAAAAAAAAAAATAATCTTTGCAAGATATTCTTTTCCCATCTAGGTTTGATGTCAGGTGACGAAGGATGAAAGTATTTTGAGGGGTTAAGTTATCAAGAACTCAATTTTATATTTAATGGGTTTGATTGTAAATTTTTCATATATTTAGTCTATTTTCAAGTTATTTTACATTATTTAATATTTTACTAAATTTCCAAGTATTATGGCAATAGAGTTATATTTGGTATTTTGAAGCTATGGGATTTAGCTTATAAATATTTATGTCATTTTAGGTTTTGGATCATAGATTGAGATTTTTAGATACCAGAGTATTGTGATGTTCTGCCACTATTGATTCCTTTGTGTTTTCTCGTCGAAATGTTTTTACCTCCTTACCTATTTCCTCCATTTCTCCCTTTCTGCTTTTGTCAATCTTTGATTTTCTCTTTAAATATCTATTTTCAATCTGTTTCGCAGACCTGACAATTCATGTTTCTACGTCTTAAACCGTGCTATGTAAACATAAGATAATAACAGTTATTCGGATAAATACAAAAACGACACAATTAATTAACTTTGTTAGAATCTTAAACACATACACAAATATATTAAATAAATGTGTAACATGACATAACAAGGTTAACATGTTTATTAAATGTGTCGAATTAAATTATACGATACAACACAATTAACACAGTTAAAATTTATACAAATATCTCATTTTCATGATTAACACGATTGATACGATTAACTTGATTAAAAAGATTAAATTAAAATATATACAAGTAAAATATAATTCTATTATCAAATTTACAACTAAAAATTATAAATATCATAATTTTTATCACATATAATAGAATTCAATATCAATAAATCTTAATCATTATAAAAATATTAGTATTTATATGGATCAATAAATGGGTTTAAACAATGTATCAAACGTGTCTACACAACACGAGAACATAATTAAATAAATGAACAGGTCATGGGTTTATGATTACACGATAACACTATTAACTAATTATGTCTTAGACGTGTCTTAGGCACATTAAGCAAGTTTGGCACGGTTAAGACATGATTTAATCGTGTTGACATGATTAATTAAATAGTGTCTTAACCACGTCAACACGATTAATACACAAAACAGCATTAGTCTAAACCCAAACACGCTTAAATCTGTCATGGTGCCGTGTCGTATACAAAATTGCCAAGTCTATCCACATACTTCCTCTACATCAATTTGGTATCAAACCTCACAAGAGCTTTCGCTATCAATCTATTCTTTTCTCTGTCAAAAACAAAAAATCTAACCTAATTTGTTCGGAGTGGAAAAAAAAAACAAAATTCAGTTCTGTCTAAATAAAAAATTTGAATGGAGAAAAAAAATTTTCACCATTGTCTAGTTTGATCACCAATTAGTCGCTGCCACCAGCTTCACCGATCAAAAACCAAGCGAACAGCCACCCTTATTAGTCCAATCATTCACCAATAAAGAAGGTAAAAAAAAGGAACCTAACTCAAAGTTATATTTATGATTATCCAGCCATCAACAAGTGAAACCACAACCATAGATCAAGTTGTGATCATTCCACTTGTAAAATCAGGTCATCGGCAGCCATCACACTTGCCCCCAAGTGCCTGTTCAAGGTCACAGCTACCCTACTTCACAGGCCCACACTCCAACAGCAATCCTAATTTGCAGACATCATTTGAAATGTCAATTGCCACATCAGCATCAATGCGTGAGTGACACATCAGCAATTTTTTTTGCAAATCCTCCTTCCATGGTAATTTCGAGGTCCTAAATCCATTTTTGAGGCCCATTTTATGAGATTTGGCCTCCAAAGGTTAAGTGTTTGAAGATCAATTTATGAATTCTTTGGCTTTGGGGATGCAATAATCACTCTTAATTGGATGACTTACTTCATTTGAGAGATAGATATGGTGTTCAAAGTCTTTGTTCTTTAGAATTTTATAAGAATTGCTTTCTCAAAAAATATATATGCCATAGGGAAAAATTGTCAAAGGAATGAAAATCTTTATATGAGCAAAGGTCGCAAGAAAACATTGTTTCATGGTCTGCATACTAGTCTTGCAATTTTCTGGACAGTAAGTATCAATTTGAAGATCAGATTATTAATTAAAAGTGTGAGGTTATTGTAAAGCAGATTCAAGAGGTTTTGGAAAGAAAAAAACCAATTTTAGAACCAGTTGTTGACATCATTAAGGGAAAACAGAGGAATACCATTCTAGACTCAGTTGATGACATCGAGGAAAAGGAGACTGTAATTGTAAAGCTCGAGGAGCAACAAGTGCAACATCATCAGCCACTTGAAGAACTATAAGTACAACATAATTTTGAAACTGAAAAGGTTGAGGGCATAGAGGTTGGGCTTGAATGTTTACACATTGATTTGATGTAGTTCAAGCAAATAAGGAATTTGTTAGGTGCTACCAAGTGAAGATTCTTCTGTTGACTTCATTTTTCCAATTATGGTGATTAAGCCCATTGTTGTTGATGATAGTTCTTCCATGGACTTCATCATTCTAAGTATGCTAGAAAATGAGGTAAAAGTTGCTTTGTTGAAGATGTTTGTGCCACTATTTGACACTGCTGTTAATTGATCTTGCTGGAAATTTCTTGTACTTCGGTTTTTCAAAAGTCAGGGTCAAGTTTTGTCCAATATATGGGATGAAGGATGAAAATATGTTGAGGGATTAAGTTATCTAGGATTTAGTTTTATATTTTATGGTAAGTTTTACATATATTTAGGTTATTTTATATTAACTACTCCCTCCATTCCAATTGAATGTCCACTTTCTTAATGGAACAAAGTTTTAAAATAAGATACTGTGTTCTTTACTTTATAACTATTGCCCTTAAAAGTTGTAAAAACTAGACGAACCCACCTAAAGTTAGTATTAACATGGAAGTGTTTTCTACTTTGGGAAAGTGGACATTATTTTGATACAGCCTAAAATAGTAAGATGGACATTCAATTTGAAATCGAAAAAGTAGTATTTTATTTAATTTCCCAAGTATAAGGCTTTTAGGGTTATATTTGGTCTTTTTCAAGTTTAGGGTTTAGTTTCTAAATATTTACATTATTTCAGATTTTGATTACTTATTCATGATGAATATTTGAGATTTTAAGATATTGAGTATTTTGATTTTCTCCCCGATTAATTCTCTCTGGTTCTCTCCTTTATGTCTTCTATTCTCAACCTATTGCCCTTATTTCTCCCTAATTGCTTATGTCTATCTATGATTTTCCCTCCAAATTTCTATATTCTATCTGTTTCCCTTGTTCTATATTACAAGAATTGTACCATAAAAACATAATAGAGTGGTAACATTCTACCAAAAAAGTAGAGAGGTAAATTTAGAGCCTAATCTGGTAGAATGAAAAATTTAACCATTATCCCTAAATAAACTAAATGAGATTTAAAGTCAAGAGAAGAGCAAATCCGCTGCACATTCTGTTTTCGAATCGTTTTTAAGGATGATAAAAGTTGGATATGCTACAAACAGTTTAAAGCATGATAACGTTCATAGGAATCTTACACCAAGAATTTCCATCCTTGACATCCAAAGATATAGCTTCCTTGGCATGTTGAATGCTCTCCTCAACCATTTGTGATTGATTCTCAGCACCTAATAAAGGAAGAAAACTTTTGTAAGAAAAAACGACACATATTTATTCATGTTCAAGTGCTCTTGAAAAAGAGAAATTATATTGCTTTGGCAGCTGGTAATACAATTTTCTAAATCTGGTTCTTCTTTTCTCTTTCTTTTATTTTTTCTGTGAGGACGAACACGGTAGTTTCTTGTTATGTTCAACTACATAAAACAGATAATTTCATTATCCTGATAGCCAATGATGATCTAGCACAATAGGATTGAACTTCCACTTTAGAGTAAGCGCTAGCTTTTTTTAAAACACTAAAGGTGTGTTTGCATGAGGAATTTGAAATGAAGACATTTTAGAATGCATCAATTTAAAATAATAGTGCTTATTATTACATTGTTTGGATAAGCAATTTTTAGAATGAAATTTGGAATATTGGAATTTGATGAAATAAAGCAATAAGAGACAGAAGAAAAAAATGAAGAAATATATGCAATATGGGTGTCATTAGATTTGTAAAAATGAATAGACATTACTAACAATATGATAAAGTCAAGAGATATATATTTAAAAATGAATTTATGTAGTGAGAGTTAAAGAGAGTAAAATTTCATTAAAAATGAACAATATTAAATGTTAACTCTTACTAAAAATCGAAGGAATTATAAAATAAAAAATTTTGACCTTCAAAATCCCTCTATGTTCCAGAATTTAAAAAATTCCAACTTTTCTTTTGCTAAACATGATAATTTTATTATCCTAGAATTTTGAAATTCTCTCTAAAAATGAAATCTCTCCTAGAAATCCATCATCCAAATGCACTGTAAAGTAAATATAAGCTCAGGTCAAAGTTTGACCGCACTTTACACTTATTCCAATCTTTTCCTTTCCTTGCCCTCAAAAAAACAAATGAAATGATTAATTTAGAAAAGTTAAGACAAAATGTGCCAAAGATTGCATACAGGAAGTACAGAAGCAAGCATTGAATATGGAGAAATATCAGGACCTAAAAGTATTGGTAATTGGCTCTTCAATAGTTGCCTAATTTTAAACTGCCACTGACAAAAACAAAAATGTGACCGCCCATCAGTTAAATAAGTATAACCAACGCCTTCATTGAAATCCAAAATTTTATTGAATGGGTAGTTATGCAAGATTTAAGGAAATTGTTGAATGTGCTAGCAGTAGATTTCACCTCTCTCAGAATGCAATATCCTTTAGACAGGGATAAAGAATTAAAAGCAACCAAGAAAGGCAAAAAAAACACAGAGAAATCCCATTAACTGATGCTAATATCTCGCATTAATAATTTGTTCATCAGATCAAACAAGTTCATTTTTCCCTCATTTAGACATTTAATACTTTTCCCTAATTTCTTGTGACCATGAGTTCATTTTTGAAACAGCAAGTTTGCCAACGTGTTTTCCTTGCTTGTCTTGCTTGTCAAGCTCAGTACATTACTAAGCATTCCAACTGCACTTTAACATATGATTAATTGTCTATCACTAATCCCCAAAAGGCTGAAAATTTTAAGTTGAAGAACAGATTGGCTGGTATCTTAACTCCATAAGCATCTGAAAACCATGCACAACAGAATAACCAGAATTGGAGGAGGGGGGGGCTCTTTACCTTGAGCCATTTTTCTTTCCAGCATTGATAGTTGGCAAAGTATATTCTTATTCGGCCCCTGTATGAGACAAAATCAGTATATATAATTAATTGAAATGAACATATAAAGAGAGCATGATAACTAAAATAACTATGCACTTAAAAGTGAAAAATCTAATGTGGGTGAGAACCTTGCTTAGTGCAAGATTAAAACAGTTCTTTGCTGAAGGTAAATCTCCCTTCTTCCAAATGCAGTTACCCAAACAAAGCCAAGCATCTGCAAGAGATGGATTCAACTTAACCTGGAGCCGAAATTATCAGATTAAAAACATAAGCCTTATTCCAAGTCCAAGAATTAAAGCAAGCCAGGCTAGCCAAACAACATTCTGTTCTTGCTTACTGCTTTTGAGAGATGATCCTCTGCTTCCTTCCGATAGTCAGGCACTACAT